TTTTTTTTTTTTTTTTTTTTTTTTTTTTTTTTTTGTCTTTTTTCCGTGTCCAGCAACGGATCGCAACCCTCAGTGTTGCCCCCGCACCGGACCGGGGACCGGCAACGGGATCGCAAGCCTCGGCGTTGCTCCCGCGCCTCGCTCAGCCAGTGAGCGGGAGCCGGTCTGTACGTGGGATCCGAACCCTCGGACGGGAGCGCCGCCGCGCTTCCCAAGCGGCGCACTATCCAGTGCGCCACCGGGCCGGCCCTGAACCATTTTTTCTTAAGAGTTTTATTTGATATGGTTGGAAAGTTCAACGACAAGAGTAATTGTGATTGTTTGAGACATTATAACTGTTAGAATGGCATGGATTAAAATTTAATTCTCTTTAGGTGTAATTTGAGATCATTTGTTCTCTCTTACAAGATGCTATCTTAATTCTGTAGTGTCTACCATAGCATTGAAGTGACAAAATAAATGTAAGTTTATTCATGGATACTTGTAATTTTATGGACCAAATATTTTTGGATACTATTTATATTTCTGACACATTTTTGTACAGGAATTTGTGTCAAATATGTTTTAATTAAACAATAGTCTATTCTGTTGTATCTTATTGAATGTTACTTTTTCTTTTTCTAAAACAAAATTGCTATATATACAAACTACCATTTTTATTTTTTAAAAAGTTGTTAAATGTCATTATCTATGTAGATTTAATATTAATATACTTCTTATTTTGTCCCACTGTAGGTGTTAGAGCCTGGGATGCTTATTTAATGATTTTCATTATTGATTTTATGTCCATGGCAATAGTGGATATTATTTTTGAGCAAAGTTATTATCCTGTTTTTGGGTTAATGACTTCTTAAATAGTGGGATCTGTATTATATTTTAATAAAGAGCATATTGTTGCCATTATTACCTTGTGGGCAAACAGTGAAGCGCCTTTATTTTTCTTACTATTTATAAGCCTCAAGTTTAATGAGCTTTTGTTTTGTTGGTCAGACATTTTTGGCTCTCATAAACCAAGTGTTCCCTGCAGAAGAAGACAGTAAAAAAGATGTGGAAGATAACTGTAAGTATCAAGTTAAAAATTTGTTCTCATCACAGAGAAGAAAACTGTCCTTCCAAAAGATAAATTAGTGGTTATATTACTAATACACTATACTGGTTCAGAAAAAATGTAGCCTTTTGACATGAAGGTCCATGTGAATGGAGGCCTCAAAAGTTTTAAGTTCATTGTTGCCTCACATATGCACTTTGGTGAAAGAGTCTTGATGGCCTTTTAGGGTTATTTTGGTTGTGTGAATGTGGGGAATAGTAATAATTTACAGTGAAGCTTAAGTTAACGTTCTCATATTAACAATTTTAAAAGCTATTTTGAACCGAGAGTCAGGCAATTTTTAGAATAGTATATCTGGTTCAGTAATTTGCCGGTTGAGTCAGTAGGAGTCACTTAATATCACTGAAGCAAACAAATATTTTTTTAAAAAACTGTGCAATAACTACTAGTTGAAAAATTTATTTCAGAACATTGTATTAAAATACAACATTAATTTTACTTATAAATATCTTAGCATGTTTGGTGTAAAAAACCTATATCCACTGAAAAGGCTGTGTTTATTCTTAACATTGTCAATATTAAACAGTAATCATGTTTCAGTTTTATTTGGGGAGGGGACAGTATTTAAGAATCATGTTCAGTGGTCATGGATTTTCTTAAAGGTATATGAAATTAAAAACTCTTCATTCAAAGAAAAAAGATAAAAGAAAGGAATAGATTTGTTCTTACTGATTTTTCTCTGTAGTTCACATTTGAGTAAGCTTGTAAGACCCCTATATCTAAATGGGGGCAGTGTGGAACAGTGGGGAAATGGTATGTTAGGAAAACATGCAGTGTAGGTGTATATACACCTTCAGTGAGGGATCAAACAAGTAAACCAGCCAGGCAGCATCCTGCTCTCAAGGATCTGGTTTAGTAGCCAAAACCAAATACATAGACTTATTGTCATAATACTGGCAGTATTTGGTAAGCACCATAAAGAAAGTACAAATGGGTCCCAAATGGGTCTGATTTGGGGGCATCAAATGAAATGGGGGCATCAAATGGGAGAGATGTGGACTGTGGAGTCAGGCAAGCCTGAGTTCTGATTCTCATTACGCTATTAGGAAGCTGTGTGTCTGTGGGCAATTTATCTCTTTTCTGAGATTCTCATCTGTAAAATGGGAATAATAATATATATGTTGCATGCTTAGAGGTGATATATTTAAAATACTTGGTACAGTGCTACAGCTCTAACAGGCTCTAAATAAATGGTAGCTATTATTTTTAGGTGCGAGAGATTGAGAAAAAACATGGGCTTCTCTTCATTTCCAAAATTGCTGGAGAGTTCATTTGATGAGTTAATACATTTTGGACAGCAGTGAGAACAAAATAAAAAGTGAGACTATACCATATCTAAAATAAGAGAATACTTATTTCTGTTAAAACTTACTAGGGTATGCAGAACTAAGAATTAATTCTTTTCATATATTAAAATGTTTTTTGGGTCATATAATATATCCACATCTAACTAAACACAATAAATGGATTTGAATTATTTTAAATCTATTTCTTAAATTAATATTTTAAAACACTGGTATTTATCCAACCTTTTAACTTTCCCAGCCTTAGTATGGATTTGCTGACTTTTGCAGGTGTTTTTTTTGGTGATGTCAGAGGACAGCAATGTTAATGTGTGGACATTGACTATCCTCATCACACAGTAGTCCATCTCTACTTGAAGTCCCTTTTCTGAAACCATATCATTAACACAGCTGTGGTTGAGTTTAGAATGCAGGTTTTCCAGCTGAAGTGGTTCCATCACTTAGTACTTTTGTCTGAGACTTGCCACCACACCACTGTCATGTGCCAAGTGACACACTGACATTGCTTCTTAGGATCTCACATGCGTATTTCTAAAATCCTTTCCCCTTCTCTGTATCATAATGACGATGTGATGATTAAATGATTGATGGCTATAGAGTGCTCTGAATTATGTGATAAAGTTTCTATCAAAACAGAGACATGTTGTCTTTTGATAGTTCCTTAACAATATAGCAAAATTCACTACCTACTTTTAGCTCTGTGTTTTCTTTCTTTCTTTTTTTTTTCTTTTGTCTTTTTCGTGACTGGTAAGGGGATCGCAACACTTGGTGTGGTGTCGCCCGCACCACGCTCAGCCAGTGAGTGCACCGGCCATTCCTATATAGGATCCGAACCCGCGGCCGGAGCGTCGCTGTGCTCCCAGCGCCGCACTCTCCCGAGTGCGCCACGGAAATGGCCCGTAGCTCTGTGTTTTCTATGTGAAGTGTTTTATATGTAGAGATTAGTATGTTAATTTTGCCTTTTTACTCGACTGTTGGGTGTGCATACCAGAGTAAGGAAAATAATTCAACAATTAAAAGGAAAATAATAGAATCTTTTCATGCTGATTGTAAGCTACTGTTACTTACATGGCATATAATATTCTTCATGAATTATCACCTGTTAGATGTTGAGAATAATCAAGTATAGAGTATAAAATTGGAAATAATCCTAAAAGTTGCCTTGTTCAGTCTCCTTTTTAGTAATGGGATGACTTCTACAGCAATATATGTTTAGAATTCATTGACTTCTACTGTGTTGAAGCTGTTTGTGGGTTGCCTTTTTCTTTCAGTGAACCAGAGATGTCACAAATAAGCAGGATCTTAAATGCTCAGATAACTCCCTAGTCAGATCCCTAAATTTAATAATGAAGTCATACCTAGTCTTCATTAAAAACTTTTGGGGGCTGGCCCGTGGCTCACTTGGGAGAGCATGGTGCTGACAACACCAAGTCAAGGGTTAAGATCCCCTTACTGGTCATCTTTTGGAAAAAAAACCTCAAACTTTTGGTATGTTATATGTTTATTTATTATATCAAAGTATTTATAAAGAAACAAATTGTGTTTTTAATTTTATTATGTTTTATTTTTAAAATTTTATTTTATTTTATTTTGTTGATATACAATGTGGTTGGTTATTGTGGCCCATTACCGAAACCTCCCTCCCTCCTCCGTCTCCCCCTCCCTCCCAACAATGTCCTTTCTGTTTGCTTGTCTTATCAACTTCAAGGAATTGCAGTTGTTACCTATGAATAATTAGGCATAAAAGGTAAACAGTTCACATAAAGGATTGCATGTAAATAGCCAAATGAAGTAATCCTAGGGCTGGCTACTAGCAACGGAGAGTAGGAAAGAAGGAATTAGGTGGAGCAGGAAGCTATTTCTTTTTTTTTTTTTTTTCCTTTTTTTGTCTTTTTTCGTGTCCGGCAACCGACAGCAACCCTCAGTGTCGCGCCCGTACCGGACCGGGACCGGCAACGGGATCGCAACCCTCGGTGCTGCGCCCGCCCCTCGCTCAGCCAGTGAGTGGGAATCGGTCTGTATGTGGGATCCGAACCCTTGGCGGGAGCGCTGCCGCGCTCCCAAGCGGCGCACTGTAGCAGTGAGCCACCGGGCCGGCCCTCAGGAAGCTATTTCTGAGACCCATGTAAACATCCCTAAGTCATACCTTGAGGGAGGTGTAAACAGTTGGTATTTAGCGTTTCTCATTCTGGCAAACCAAGGGTTGCAGATATTTTCTTCTCTATCTTTCCTTTTCCATGTCTTTATGAAAATGGAATAGCCTGAGTAGCATAATTTAAGAAGACCCTCCTGTCTAAATTCTTATTGTCATTGGCAGATACTTCACCAGTTCGGGATTTATTTGATTTAATTAACAGACATCCCTGAGAATGTGGATGTTGAGGGTGGACGGAGGTAAAGAAGGGAGAGCAAGCAGTCATTCACATACCAGTACAGGTTTATATGAGTAGCTTTCCGAGGGGAATTGTACTATAGGATTAGGAATTCTTACTTAGAGGAAATGGACAATATGATACAACCCCGTATTTCAGAGGAAGATGAGAGATGGGGCAGTTGTTCAGCAGAATGCTTTGGATAAAGAAACAGCAACATGTAGACCAGGCTCCTTGGGGGAGGAGGATGGGAGAAGAGCAGGGATATTGAAAGACAGGGGAAGGGCCGGCCTGTGGCTCACTTGGGAGAGTGTGGTGCTGATAACACTAAGGCCACGGGTTCGGATCCCTATATAGGGATGGCTGGTTAGCTCACTTGGGAGAGCATGGTGCTGACAACACCAAGTCAAGGGTTAAGATCCCTTTACCAGTCATCTTAAAAAAAAAAAAAATAGACAGGGGAGCAGATACCCAAACCAGATATACTTCTGCTCCCTAACCTCTGCTCCAAATTCTTCCTCAATTCAAAGGGAAGCTGCCACTCAACTGTACAGAGGTTCCACCTTCTTACTCTTACTCTCTTCTTACTCTCTTTTACTCTGCCTTAAGTGGCATTAGAAAGCAGTGAGAAAGGATTGGGAAGGTAGTTTCATTGCACAGCCTAATATGGTAGTTCTGTTACTGAAAAAATAGAGAATAGATTTTGGCTAACAACTCACTCACTCCGATTCTCACACACACACACACACACACACACACACACACACACACACACACACACACTCACTCACTCACTCTCTTTGGCTAACAACTCAGTCTGATTGACATATACATTTCATGTATATGTCAATCAGAGTGAGTGAGTTGTTAACCAGAATCTATTAAGGGAGTTATCTGAGCACTTTGTGTCAGAAGTGTATTAAAATATATGTGTATATATATGTCAATCAGAGTGTACATGTGTATAATACATATATATGTTCTAACACTCTGTATATAAAAAATCACATAATAAAAGACATGTTTCTCCTTTCATGTTTGTTTTGATTGTATGTTGAATTTAAGTTTTGAATTATTTTAAAGATTGCATTTAAGAAAAAAAAAAAGCAAACTTGAACCTTTATAACAAAGTAAAAAAAAAAATAAGAGATTGAGGCATGTGTCCTTGGAAAGCGAACTGGCTGCATTACGTGAGTGCAGAAGCATGGGCAGTCTTTGAGATGGATATAACGAGAGACTTTTGTTTGACAGCGTTGGTTAGGTGTTGAATGGTATGTTAGGAAAACATGCAGTGTAGGTGTATATACACCTTCAGTGAGGGATCAAACAAGTAAACCAGCCAGGCAGCATCCTGCTCTCAAGGATCTGGTTTAGTAGCCAAAACCAAATACATAGACTTATTGTCATAATACTGGCAGTATTTGGTAAGCACCATAAAGAAAGTACAAAGAAGAGTTTCTAGTTCTAGTGGTGGTGTTGGTGAGAATGGGGAGGTATTATTTGTGAGATAATCTTTGAACTGACCTTAAAGGATAGGTAGAGTTGTGCTATCTAGAGATATAGAGCATATTCTCGGTGGAAGACAATGCATGAATGATATCTGGGTTTGATAAACAGTTTAGTCTGCTTACAAGTTGGACCATATTAAAGTGAGTTGTGGAAAATTATATGAGAAGGTCATTTGAATGCAGGTTTACTAAGAGCCTTGATCAAATGTGAATATAAATGTTGGTAGTTGATAGAGACCCACTAATGCTTTTTTGAGGAGGAGAGAAATTTAATTAGGGCTCTAGTTTAGTTAATGTGCTGAGCAGTCTGGATTGAGAGGAGAGAGGCTGAGACGATAGGCCAATAAGATGCTACTATGATTGCAAAAGAGATAATGAGACCTAAACTGGGATTGGGGCAGTAGAAATGGAAACAAAGGAGAGCAATTTCCGAGAGTCAGATTATGCTAGTGTTTGAGTGCCTACCATGAGCCTGGCATGGTGCTGCACTTTTTTATATGGCATAAAGACATAGAAACTGCTTTAGAAGAAGGAAGGAGAGAGAAAATGCTTCTAGTGTTGACTAAGGTTTAAATTTGGCTGGCTGAGAAAATAGTGGTGCTAATAATAGAAACAAGGTAGTTGAGAAAGGTGTGGTTTCTGTCTACTCCAGCATGTGGTGGAAATGTAGATCAGGAGATTGGTAGGCGTGGAGAATAGATTGTGAGTCAAGTCAGAAATAACCAGTAGCACAGACATTAATTTCTCCAGGACTCTTATTTCATCGTGTCAGTTGTGAGGGACTGACTGAATGATCTGATGGTTCTCTCCCATTCTAAAATTTTTATCTTTTGTGTTTTATCTATGAAATTCTGAGCATCAGACTGGATTAGTGTCATCAGTTTGTGTCAGAAGTGTATTAAAATCAGAGCTATCTAAAATAGCACTTTCTTTCCACTTGAATTGTACTTGACTTTTTAACCAGTCTTTGTTAGTGTGTGCTCACTGGTACTCACTAGATATACTCCCCTACTTGGAAATATCAAAAATATCACTGTAACACATATGTAATCTGAATATATTTTAAATCAGCCTTTGGGGTTTACATACATTAAGATTTTAAAGAGAGAATTAAAACTAATCTAACAGGTGAATTTTAGCTTGGGTCAGTGTGATTCAGATTAAGATAGTATTATTTTATCCTACTTTTTTTTCCTTCAACTATCTAATAATTTGCAAATTTATGTCTTAGGTTCACTAATGTATTTAAATGAAGCCACACTCCTCCATAATATCAAAGTTCGATACAGTAAAGACAGAATTTATGTAAGTATTTTACCTATGGTGTAAGTTTTTGTGGGGATATTTTACATGCTATTGTTTGCATTTATCAGGCTTGACATTTTCTAACAGAAAATCATGCTTGATCTGAGCCTGTTGAATAGAGTGTGAACTCCATGAGGACAAGGATTTTTTTCTAATTTACTGCTCTAACTCCAGGGCTTTGAACATGCCTGGTACATAGTAGGCACTTAATAAATATTTGCGGAAGGAAATAATGAATTCACAGCATCATCTCATATCTTTCAGACTTAAAAATGTCCAATTTGAGTATTTCTAAAAACACTGTAATTGGGGTTTTGATTTCTTATTTTTTGTATACATCTGTATCTGTTTAGTTAATTAATTCACTTTCCACATTGTCTGCAGAGAATTTAAGGCTGCCTGTATGAAATACATATTGAAATTAAAAATTTGAATGAGGAAAAAAATGCAAATTAGCATGGAAGCAGTATCTGAGAAAATATCAAGAACACAGAAATGTTGACTATAGAGTCTAAATAGTTATGGTATTTCATTAGACTCTAGATATACCTTGCCTTAAAAGTCCAGAGTATTAAAAGATGAAAGACAATGCTTTTTCATGTAAATAGTCAAATTTATACCAAATCATTCAGATGGATATTTAACTAGTATGTTTTAGTTATTAATTCTTCATTGGGCACACATGAGATTTTATTCTAATACGACCTAGTCATAGATTCCTTTGTTGGATGGAGGTAAATTGCCCCACTGTAGTTCTCCTGTTATAAAGATGGGACTCTTCATTATTTTTGAACGAAGAAAACACGTGGCTTCTTTGACACTTACTAGATCAAATGACAGTCTTAATCTTTTATATCACTATCAATTTGCCTAATTGTGCTTACTTAATCCTGACTAAATTACATTTAGTCTTTGCCATCTGTCCAAGTAGTGACAGCTGGGAAATAGAACTAATCTAGACTATTCCAAAAGGGTTTACTTGCCATCTTCTGGGTATGCACAGTATTATGACTTTACTTTTCTCCTTAATTTTTTTCAAAATCACTTAAATAAAAAAATGTGTTTAGGTTTAAATATGGCTATTTTTGATTAAAATATATTTAGGAGCAAAATTCACTCAATCAGCAAACTCATGGTGAGCATCTAATATGTGCTAAATGCTGTTTTAGATACCAAAGTAATACATGTTTTTGAAATTTGTTAAAGCAGTTTAACTTGTAATAAATCAGTAAAAGTTAATTTGGATATAACCAGGAAACATTATCATTCAAGTGGAACTGGAGAACCAGTATCTTTAAGGTTAGCTGAAGCCATGATTGGTATGTTGATTTTTAAATTATATCTTTTAGTTATAAAATCTTTAAAAATCAGCATTACATTGAATGTTATAACCACAAAGAAATGATAAATGTTTAGTTGATAGATATGCTAATTATTCTGATTGGATCATTATAAAATTTATGCATGTACTGAAACAACAAATTGTATCCGATAAATATGTACAATGAAGCGAAAAATCAGCAATACATAAATATAGCTATTATATATATAAGTGAAGGAAGAAATTGGGAGTAAGAGCTTAAATTTGATAATTTTATACAACAGTTAACCCACATTTAACATATCTGTTGTTTACTAAAATTTGTCTCCCAGGGAAAGATTGTTATCTGGACTTTCTTATTTTTTGCCCTACTTCAGGAAATATCCTTGAGAACACACCCTCAATTCTTGATTAGTAGTCTGAGAGTTCAGGGTTTCCGCAACATTATTCTTCCACAACTGGAAGCAGAAAAGAGAAAAATATGGTCCTTTTTTTATGGTCCTAGTTTTGTCAGTATTACTAAACCACAATGCTCTATCTACCCAATAAGGAATTTTATAAATCCTACTAGTACATTTTCCTGATCTTTTAAAGCCACAGTTAAATTCCAAATTTAGAAGCAAGCTTAAGTTGCTCATTAAACATTTAGCCCATCACTGTTCCAGGCAATGGTTAGCGTATGTTGTTTTGCAGAAATCTGGGACCAACTGGTCACCTCAGAGCTAAATCAATCCTTGGCATTTGGCGATGGGGAAGGGCCCAGAGGGACCTATGAGCTGTATTAAACTTTTCAGTAGCAGGGCGAATAAAGTAGTCTAAGTGAGGAATATAAATGACCAAAATTCAGCTGTAGAAATAGAACTAGGGGAGTAGACTTCATAGAGTTAACAGAAGAAGGCTGATTGAAATAGAGGCTTAGAGACTCAGATTTCTGTCTGTGGTGACATGGTGGTAATGCCATGTACCTGGAGAGCATATGGGAGAATATTTTCTTTGAGGCACATGAGGTGGGAAGAGATAATATTACTTTGGATGTTCTGAGTTTGAGATGCATATGGGATAAGGAGATATAAATATTTATTAAGAGTAGGAGAAATTTAGGTTCTGTAGAGATGAGAGAATTTTTAAGGCTGGAAATGCAGATTTGGGAGTCCTGGTTATATAGAGAATTGAAGGTACCTATTTGCTGTTTTTTATTTCCCTCCTATGAGCGTCATTTAGCTTGAAATGAAAACAGTAATTGGGAAATTTATGTTTATGCTTTTCCTGTTTAGACGTATGTCGCCAATATTCTGATAGCAGTGAATCCATACTTTGACATACCTAAAATATATTCCTCAAAAACAATAAAGTCATATCAAGGAAAATCTCTTGGGACAATGCCACCTCACGTCTTTGCAATTGGTAAGTGATTCAATTGTATTTAATTATCTTTCCTTATATTGTACAGACTTTCTCAGTTTTTCTTTTGGATTAATAAAAGATACCATGAGTTGAAGGTATATTTTGAAGGACCTGTATGCCTCTTGGGTGTATCAACATTGTTAGGAGCACACAGGGTGGGGAAGAATTCTTTTGCAGCCAACTCACGGGGCAGTCATATGTCATTATCTTTGTTAAATTCCAGTGTCCTGTTAGGTGTGTCTGCTCAGTTGAAAGTGGGAATAATACAAGCTGACCTAATGGTACTTTTTGACTCATCATGATTGGTCTCATTTTAATAGTGTCCTCTTTCATAGTTGTGAGTCCCAGTCTTTCCTCTCCTACTCAGGTCATCACTTGTGAGTGTGTTACTTGGGCTAGACTTGAGCTGTAAGAGCATACTTTTTTGGTGCACTGTCTTGCATCAGGGCTTTATAAAATTAAAGGTTTGAAGGTGATATAGTACATGCGTCATATTGCAGAGGAATCTGTGTGGGAAGACAGTAGTATTTGTCTTTGCCTTTCTCAGTCTCTGTCTCATCTTGAAGGTTACCTGCTCTGAGACACAAAGAGACAGAGCTATTTGATCAGAATAAGCAATCCTACCCTGCCCCAACCAAGTACAGAGATGTTAACTAACCCTTTGCATCCGGACATAACCAGAAGCTAAATGACATATTTTGGTGATGGTTCTTAGTGCAGTTTGTTTCTCTTTGGGCTTTCTTTTTATGCTTGTGGTTTGGCCTAACCGTGCTTCACTTCCAGATTTGGTTGACCTATGTGCTGTGTACTACTAGGCAGAGTAAATCTATCAGCCAAGTCCAGTGCAGCAGCAGATTTACTTTTAGTTCTAAGAAGCTCTGATGGGCATTGGTATGTTCTCTGTCAGCCTGCAAAATGGTACACAGTCCTTAGAACCTAAATATGAGCAAGCTCATCACTGGAGAGAAGTTACATGTTTAAAATGTAAATAAATCAGCTTTTATTTTTAGCCTTTTACTGCTAAAAAAGTGTTTAGAATGATTCTATAAAATCATTCAACCCATGGAACTGGTTGCTGATAAATCGGACAAAGGGATGGGTGTACTCTTGCATATGGTTTGTAGTATGTCCCTAGAGTAAAAGCCATTTGTATGGGTAGCACATACTTGAGGTGGGAAGTAATTGTCTTATAGAGCCAATTGGTCAGGGACTAATTTTGAATTAAAATTTTGGTTGCCAGATTTCTTAATTGGAAGCTTGTTACTTCTTGCTTTTCACTGGGGACGTCATTAGTTGTGCATAGTGAGCGTTTTTTTTAATCCCTCTGCAGATCTGCTCTGGTATTAGGGAGAGTTGAGCTACAGCTCCTAATATGGTGACATTCTAGCATTAACTTAAGAGTTGTTTATTTGGATTTCATATCACTTAGCTATTAGGATAGTAAGACACAACATTGAAAGTAAATACTTTTAGAAATGTTTCCAACACTTTTGAATGATTTTATTTTAAAATTTCATTAACAGTAAATACACAATTATGATTTCTTTAGGAGCAAGTGCTCCTAAAGTGAACTTTCCGTCATTTAATAACTTTAATAGATTGTTCATCATTAATGTGTTATTTTGACTCTAGCTGATAAGGCTTTTCGAGATATGAAGGTGCTCAAGATGAGTCAGTCTATTATTGTGTCTGGAGAGTCAGGAGCTGGCAAAACAGAAAATACAAAATTTGTTCTAAGGTGAGTATTCAGCTAACCTGAAATATTTTGCCTTTTTTTTGTGGTAAAAAATGCATAACATAAAGTTTGCCAACTTAACACCATTAAATTGTATATTTAGAAGTAGTTAAGTATATTCACACTGTTGTGCTGCCAACCTCCAGAACTTTTCATCTTCCAAAACTGAGGATGTTCCATACTTATTAAACAACTCTCTATTTCCCCACTCTTCCCAGCCCCTGGCAACCATGATTCTACTTCCTGTTTCTATGAATTTATCTATTCCAGACACCTCATATAGGTAGAATTGTACAATAATATTTGTCTTTCTGTGTCTGGTTTATTTCATTTAGTTCAGTTTAAGAGTCATCCATATTGTAGTATATGTCAGAATTCCCTAACCAGTATTGCTTAGGCAAAGGAAATCTAGGAATGTTCCTTCAAAATCCCAACATCTGCATTCTGTTCTCAATATTTCTGCTGCTATTAGCATGGTTGGAACCATTTTTTTTTGCCTTAAGCTTATGACAGTTGGCCTCCTTACTTTTATCTCCCCACACCCCTAGTATAGTCCCTTTGCTGCTGTCAAATTAAACTCTCTACACTTTTTTAGAATCATAGCATTTTAAAAATGGAAGGAACTGGGGCACTCCTAGTTTAGTTCTTTTAATTTACATAGCCAAGGAGGTTAAATCTAGTGGTGTAGCTTCACCATACTGCTAGTATGAGCATATTCTGAATTTTCACCAGTGTTGTTTTCACTGTATTACAGTTCTTAGTTGACTGCTGCATGGTGGGACTTTTTTTTGAAATTTTGCTATTTGTTATGTAAATGTGTATGCTATTCAGAGTTACTTATATAAAACCAATTGAAGAGTTTGTTAATAGCTGTTACGTATATGCAATTCTGGTTAAACGAATGCTTCCCAATACTCTTGACATTCTAAGAGGTTCAGTTTTGTCTTTTTGTCTTTTTCCGTGTCCGGCAACGGATCGCAACCCTCAGTGTTGCCCCCGTACCGGACCAGGGACCGGCAACGGGATCGCAACCCTCGGCGTTGCTCCCGCGCCTCGCTCAGCCAGTGAGCGGGAACTGGTCTGTATGTGGGATCCGAACCCTCGGGCGGGAGCGCCGCCCCACTTCCCAAGCGGCGCACTATCCAGTGCGCCACCGGGCCGGCCCTAAGAGGTTCAGTTTTGTATTCTTTCTCTCTTGTATGTAATAGTCATATCGTGAGTCTGTGGTTGATACATGAAAATGAACAAAAAGTTAAGGAACTGTAAACTTATAATGTAAACTTGTACTGTAAGTTAAAGATTGCTCTTTGTTTTGAAATGTGCTGGGCAAAATAGTTGTTCCATTGTATTTTATCCTTCAGTGTAACAACATGAAGAATGATAACTTCCCAGCTCTGCAGTGGCAGAGTGCCTTATTTTCTGTACCCATAAGGATTGAATTAATAGTCTACCACAAAAGACTTTGAAATCTCATGTAGTTGATGAATATTCCCATGTGAAATGTGATATATTTAAAACCAAACTGTTGGTTAGAATCAAAATATTCCCCAAAACAGTTTTTTTTAAAAAAATGCTAATTTAGATGTTAAAGGCAAACTAAATAGAATTTTAGATAAATTTAAAAGCTTTTTAAATTTTTTATTATACATACATGTGGCTGTGACAGAATAGTTGCATTTAAATGTTATTTTTAAAACAAACAGTTATATTGATGATCTAGGTTTCAGTTTTACATGTATTAAATAATGTGAAAATTATAAATATTATTATATATTATATGCAATATTATTGTCACCCCTTTTTTTTTATCTTATATTTTAAATAGATACCTGACTGAATCCTATGGAACAGGTCAAGATATTGATGATAGGATTGTTGAAGGTATTGTTAATTTTTATTTTCTATTGTTAGTCATGTACTGAAATTAACTTGTGAGGATCCTTTAGGTGGTCTGGAATATTGTTCTCCTTGAAATGTGAGACACTCTCTCCTACAAATCTTTGCTCAGATATTTTCTTCTCATTTACTTTATATCTTTTGTCTGTCCCCTCACTTCCATTACATGTAAGCACTGAGAAGGCAGGGATTTTTGGTTTGTATTCTGAACCCCTAAAATAATGCTTATGTAGCATAAATATCTGTTGAATCAATGAAAGAAATACAGGAAGCTCTTTGGCTGTTTGTTTCATGGACCTTTATTTTGTAAAGAAGGAAAGAAGAGGAAGGGTTATTTGGTATTAAAGTGCTTTTTTGTGGAAATTATTTTAACAAGAGTACACTTCGAAGACAAGAGTTTGAAAATTGGTTTTCTTAAGCTGTCTGTGCTGCATGCTCCTTAGAACATCATCTTGTAGCTCAGTGTGGAGACTGCTGGTCTAGGCTACCACCATGCTGAATCTACACCCCCTTCCTGCATCACACACTCCTATCTGGTCTCCCCACTTATATTTCTGCTTCTCCTGAATTCAGTCTCTATTTGGAAGTTGGAGTGATCTCTTTTGCTTTAAATTTTCTAGTAGCTTCTTATTGTTCTCAAGATAAAGCCCTAAATCCATATCATCACCTGTGGTCTGGCTCCTGCCTTTTCTGGTCTAATCGTGAGTCATGTCGCCTCTGACTCCTCATGCTTTTGTCTTGTTGGTTTCCTTGTAGTACTCTGAGGTGTTTTAAGCCTCTCTGGATACTTTTTCTCCTTCCCTCTTCTTCGCTTTCCCCTGCTAAGTTCTCAGTAAGGATTTAAATAATGGCAATGATATTAACGTATGTGGTATGTATTGAGCATTGTCTGATTTTCTTAAAATCTGTTATTTAGATCTTCACAGAATAATGTATTTTATCCCTGTTTTAAAGATGAGAAAATGAGGCGGTAATAATAGTTTAAGTTGCCAGAAATCATATCACTTGTGGAACTGAGATACAAACCTAGGCAGCTCAACCACATGCTATACTAAATGCATATTTTAACTCTCTTTTGACATTTTAAAGAAATATTTTAGTTGAACAAAAATTTGTTAGAGGCCTTCTATGTTCATGCATTTTGCTATGCAAATAATTGCATTTTTTCACAATTATGTAAAATATGCAGGTAGATGAATCTAAATACTTTAATAAGCATTTTAAAAGTTGTGCATCAATAAAGTTTTTCATGTTTTTCTTTCTTTCTTTTTTTTTTTTAAAAGATGACCGGTAAGGGGATCTTAACCCTTGATTTGGTGTTGTTGTCACGCTCAGCCAATGAGCGAACCGGCCATCCCTATGTGGGATCCGAACCCGGGGCCTTGGTGTTATCAGCACCGCACTCTCCCGAGTGAGCCACGGGCCGGCCCTTTCATGTTTTTCAATATAAATAATATTCTAGTTTTATTTATACTTCTTTCTGTAGTGTTATGACACACCCTGATGTGGGGATTTCATAAGTAATGCTTTATTCACAGTAGAATACCTTACTTTAGTGAGGGAATCACCCTCAAAAATTGAATTAATCAAAAAGAAAAGAAGAAAAAAAAAATCAAAAAGAACAAATTATGGGTTAACTCAATAAAAGACTAATTAGTATTCTGATTTGTTTAGTTGTGGTGCAGACTTACTTGAGAAATGGATATATGTCTAGTTTCTTTCATGGTAATGTGCTGTGCAGTGTGTAGTGTATTATAATTGAGAAAAGTTGGAAAGAATTATTCCAAATGTTTCTACACCCCTTTAATGGAGAATAGAAGATGTAACTGGAAGGCCATAGAATCTTTCGATGCCATCCTTAATGGAAGTTTGCTTTGTGGGTTTTGGAATGAGTATATTTTTAATAGCATTAAGATGATTTTCTGATGGAGAGGTTCTTATGCTACTTTGGGATATTTTATTTGTGTTAAATTCTTCAGCAAAAACTAGTAGATCATGAGTAAGGGAGTTAGGGAGATCTGTAACCGAGTCTCCCTTTTGTCAACAGCCGGTTATGTGACCTTCTGAGAGTCGGTTGACCTTGTTGGCCCCAGTTTTTTTGCCCATCTGAAAAGTGAGAGATAAATGCTAACATTTCTTTTAGTTTTAATCTGCTATTTGTTTTGGCAAGTGAAATGGCTGGGAAATGATCTTTAAAAGGGTTTTGAGGCTAGTTTAGCTTTCTACTGTGGATAGAATAAGAGAAATGAACTTTAAAAGGCTTCATAAGAAATATTATAACAATAAACATTATGAAGCAATTTGAGGTTAGTGGTGTAGAATATATGAGTAAGATTAACATATTTGCCATGTTTATAGTTGAGACTTTGACTAGACCCTTATCTAGTCATGGTGTGTGTGTGTGTGTGTGTGTGTGTGTGTGTGTGAGTGATATTATAAAATAACAATTAAAATGTTACATTTGTCCATTGGGATTTTAAAAACTTATTCTGAGAGCCTTTTTGAAATAATTCTGTAAACTTGTTTTTTTAGGTTATTCTATAAACTCTTAATTTGTTAAATTTTATTGGATGTGCATGTAAAAATGTTAAATTTGGAGGTTATGTTAATATATAAAATATTTTATAAAAGTAAGTAAAGCAAGAACTTTCTTGCCTGTATTTTGTGACAAGAGGTTTGCTGTTTTATCTGTTATAATTAGTACTCTTTTAGGACTGATGTAAAATCCTTTGTTAAAACCTTAAAATTCTTAGGGAGTAATTTTTAAAGTTGAGTTATAAATTTTGCAACCTAGTGACTTTTACAATTTAGTCTGTCTAATAACATTTACATCTCTTGCACTTGAACAGTACTTGAACATAGTGGGTAGTCAATAGATATTTGTAGAATTTGACAGTACATATGAATTTCTCCACATTAATATTTTTGAGAATAGTTTTTAGCGATATACATATTTATTAACAAATGGAGACATGCTGTGCGAAGTTTTGTAATTTTCCTTTATGCTAATTTTTTTGATGGAATATTTTCGTTTTTTTCTCAATAGCTAATCCACTCTTGGAAGCCTTTGGAAATGCAAAGACTGTTCGCAACAATAATAGCAGTCGATTTGGAAAATTTGTAGAAATACATTTCAATGAAAAGGTGAGTGAGAGTGAGTTTTGGGATGATATGTTTGGGGGAGTATTTGAAAAAAAAATCCAAGGATCTTAGTAGAATTGGTGCTGTACTTGAACTTAAAGTAAACCCCTTTAAGTTTCTGTGTTACTTTAGGTGGTTAGGAGAATATATACATTCACTGTGACTATCCAAAAGCTCCTTTACAATTTATAACCCAAATATTGGATTTGACTTCAACATTGAGTATTACAGATATCCAGGTTTTTTTTGTTTGTGTTATTGGCTGCTGGCCGGTATGGGATCTGAACACTTGACGTTGGTGTTATAACACTGAGCTCTAGCCAACTGAGCTGACTGGCCAGCTTTGTAAGACATTTTAGCACCTTCATTCAGGTACAGTGTAAAGTCAGTTTTGATTCTGTGAAGGCTCAAAACTTAGAAGGTTCTAGATGGAGACTTAATGAGTATGTTTAAAATGAAGGATGACCTCTATAAATACTCTAAGCCTACATTTAGTTATTTGGTTTTTTCCCCTATATTTGATGAATATTTTATTACCTATTTGATAGACAAATGTTAATTAGAAAAGATAAATAACATTGGTAAGTTATACTTTAAGATTTTAAATGCAACAATGTGTTTTCTTTCTGTTTTGTTTTTTAGAATTCAGTTGTTGGAGGATTTGTTTCACATTATCTTCTAGAGAAATCTAGGATCTGTGTTCAAGGCAAAGAGGAAAGGAATTATCATATCTTTTATAGGTTGTGTGCTGGTGCTTCTGAAGATATTAGGGAAAAACTTCATTTGAGCTCCCCAGATAATTTTCGGGTAGGTTGGAGGAAGAGAAATTTCATACAATTTTTGGAAATTGGATTGCCTTCAACCTTAAAACTTATTTTAGTGGATTTTGGCATCTAGTTGTACGTGTATATAGCTTACATTAAATCAAGTATATGTGTTAGAATGAGCGCTGTATTGAGATCTTTAATCAGGTTTACTGCTGAATTTACTCTGTGAGGAGCTATGTAATGGGATAGATAGAAGGATAGTTGTTAAACCCTATGTTAATTTATAGTCAATTAGAAATTTATGATTGTTCTGTAATACCACCTTAAAATTACCTTTGACTTATAAGAAAGTTTGACCACTGAATTAGTATTAATAAGGGACACATGATTATATTCCTTAATTCAGTTCAATAACAAATATTTATTGCTTGTCCATGGTTGCTAGGCATTGTGCCAGGATCAAAAAGATAAATAAGACATAGTTTCTACTCCAGATTAATTTAGAATGTGATGTACACACACACACAGTCTGACTCATGTGTTAAATGATAAGAAAGAGATGCATAAAATGCTGTGGCAGCCTGGGCATTGTGGAAAGGCTGATTGGAAGTATTGATTGCTTGATGAAAATCCTGAAGGATTTTCAGGTGTTAACTAGATGAAGGAAGATGCAAAGGATATTCCTGGTAGATGCAAAAAGATGAGCAAACAAAGGGAAGAAACATCTTAAAGGGTACGTCAGAGATCCTTGATTATAAAGAAAGCTTGGATAGAATAAGAGTGGATGGCAGGAATAGTAATAGCTTTCTAATTATAGAAAAGTTGGAAGAAATAAGTATCTTTCCTAGATTTTAATATTAAGTCCAACTGTCCAAAAGCTAAGTATTTGACAAAACAGTTGGGGTGGGAGATAAAGTACTTGCTAGCAAAGAAAACATTTGTTTTGGCTCCATATGTTTAAGCTACTACTATCTAAGTAAAAGAAGTCTTTTTTGAAACAATCAAATGAAAATGCTTACCAGCATTATCTTCTTTTATTTTTTCCCAAAAATTCTAGGGTAGAGGGAACTCTTTGTATATCATTGTCTGGTTTTACTGTATTTTAGTATTTCAATATAGTGGAGGGAAAATGACAGATATATTGATCATTTAAAATATTGATTAGTCCCATTTCATTTAAATTTACTATATGTTTTTTCTTGGTGTACGTAGGATGTGGTATATTTAATTCTGGAATTGATGCCACTGGTACAATGGAATTATAGTGACCTGATTTAAGAGAAGCTGAGATGTTTTAAAAATTTTTCTGTCCTGTTCTTTGTGTACTTCCTTTCTGACCCCCTCCTAAATGTGGGAAAGTAGACTCTCCTTGAAACCAATATATTGTTTTCTTCTCAACTGCTCTTCTTATTATATGTTTTGAAAGCACTTAGCTTTTAAAAGGCTTCTGGTAAGCAAAGTAAATCATTGAGAAAAGAAAAGCTGAAATGATTTCATCTATAAAGCAACTATTGTTATTTTTGTATAGTCACTGTTAACTGTCAGTAAATGTAAAGGACATGTTTTGAAGAACTGAATCTAGAAATAAGAAATTAAGAAAATCAAGGTTAATATTTCTATTTAGAATTTAAAATATTATTTGAAATATTAAACCATATGTGGGTTCTTACTTGAGACTCTTCATAGAAGGAAGATGATTTTCATTATTATTTGTAGTACTTATTTTATGGACTATATTTTTAAAAAAGATTTAACACTTAGAAGATGTAAAATTGCTATCCTTTAAAAATAGGACACTTTTATGGTATTTTTATTTTATTCATTTTATTTAATATACTTTCAAGAATTAGGATTTTTAATATTCATCTCTGGTTTAGTAGGAATAAAATGTTTATAAAATATAGAAATATTGATTTTAATTGAGTAATTAAACAATACGCAAGTTACATTTAGAAATTCTTTACTGTTAGCACTATTTGATAAGTTGTGTTTTCTCTTGTATTATTTCCCTGTGAATCATATATGTTAATTTTATTTTAAATTTCTTTGTCATAGTATTTAAACCGAGGCTGCACTAGGTACTTTGCTAACAAAGAAACTGATAAACAGATTTTAAAGAACCGCAAAAGTCCTGAGGTATAGTAGACTTTTTTGTTTTTTACTAAAATCTTTAATGTAAAAAAAGTCATGCTGAAAGATACACTTTTTATTTTGGAGCCCAAATATGATTTATTACTTTTAGGCTTATACTTTAAAAACTAGGTATTCCTCCAAGTCTGTCTCCCAGTTGGTATCTACAGAAGCAATATGTCCTGGTTCTTCTTGGTTGAGCCTCAGTGTACTGCTCTACTCTTGTTCTTTTTCCAAGTATGAAACTATTAAATTGACTAAGAATCATCCTAATGTAGCATTTTTGAAACTTACCATATTACCCATTGAGATTAAGTATAAATATGTCTTTTATAATTTGTTGTCTACTTGAAGGCTGAAGTAAGCTTTGAAGTAAACAATAGATTAAGCATTCTTCTGAAAGGATGCTTATATATTATTGTATTTTTTTTTTCCCTTTTGTCTTTTTTTTGTGTCCGGCAACGGATCGCAACCCTCAGTGTTGCGCCCGTACCGGACCGGGACCAGCAACGGGATCGCAACCCTCGGTGTCGCGCCCGCACCTCGCTCAGCCAGTGAGCGGAAACCGGTCTGTATGTGGGATCCGAACCCTCGGCGGGAGCGCCACCGCGCTCCCAAGCGGCGCACTGTAGCAGTGTGCCACCGGGCCGGCCCTATTATTGTATTTTTTAAAAAACAGCATATTTCTGTAATATTAGGTTTTGTATATTGGTCTTATTAAATTATTATAATATTTCTAAAAGTAATTAGATATACCATTATTATTTTAAAAACATTAAATCTTTAAAAATCTGCAACCATTATAAGTTTTAATATGCAATATTTAAATAATAAGTGGTATTAAGTTGTGTTTATTTAACGGGCTTAAATTATGAAATACTAAGTCAGGATTAATTATAGGTACTAGTTAATATTCCCTTTATTAATTTTATTAAAAGATTTATATTGAGTATTAATCAAACAAGTTTTTATTATAGTAAGTTTTTAATGCTACATTCGTGAGCCAAATATTTTTGACTCCTTTCACAAAATAGGTAAGATGAATTATGTGAATTATAAAAATATATTTTTATAAAAGAGCAGAAAGCAAATATAAGTTCTCATTATTTCAAATTCTAAGCAGATGAGTCTGCAGTTAATTTTTGTTTAATTTGACATTTTATATATCATTTTAGACACAGATGTCTGAATTATAAATCATAAACTTTGTTACAGCCATGGTTGAAACTTTAAGAAACAACATTAATATTTATTATAGTATCTTTCTTTGTCTTGATAATATTTTTATAAGAGATCATCAAAATATAGAGGTTGTATTTTTTTCACCAAGACAATGGAGACATTCCCTAGTGGGACACTGCACCTGTTTTAAAGGGAAAAAAAGAATGTATATTTGATCTTTTGGCATAGAAAAATCTGAGTAGAGAGAAAAGAAAACTGGAGTTTACTCTCCAAAGATTAAATGCACTCTTTCTGTTCCTAGGGTCAGTATACTTTGTCAGAAATCTTATTCACATTATCGAATGTGTATGTGTGTATATATGTAGGTAAACAACGGATTAATATGTTTAAATTACTTTTTATTTCTTCTTTATCAGGAGGATGAGGTGATCATTTTGACTGATTAAACCCTTCGCCTAATTCCATTTGAATGTTTTTAAGTTGTGTGCAATATTTAGGAGAATGCAGTATTTTTAGTCTTCCATACAACAAATATGTTTATTCACATTTAATTAGAAACAGTTTTTAAATTAAGCAGGCATTCAATTGCAAGACTAAAAATTCTGCACGATATATGTTTTCTGTTAACTTTGGCTGCATGTGATTGTTTTTGTTGGTTGTCATTATCTAGTCATTTTCCAGAAATTTCAAATGCACATAATTGAACATTTTAAAGAATTTTGTGGAAAGACAACTGCAACTTTAGGTGGGAAGCAGTTGTTCGTTGGGAGAAAAAACATCTCCTAGAGGCATTTTTAATTGCTAATTAATTCTGATGCTGTTTTTTAATGTTTAACTTTACTTCTTAATTTTCAAGTTCTGGAAAATTTCTAGTCCAATCTTTTTTGTTCAGTAACTTTTATGTTTCTTTTCCTAATTTCTGCAGGCCTTTCTTTTTCCCCTTTTCTGAGTTTTGTTATAAGTTCTAACAAATGAATACTTCAGATGCAAGTTTGTTTAGGAAATAAAACAAATTTTTCATATTTTTCTGAAATGTTTTAAGTCAGTGCATAAATTCTTAAAGTAAGCATAATGCTTACTAATATATAGTTTACCTCATAAATACTTATACAGAAAGGTTAAAAAATAATTCTCAGGCCATGAAAATTGTATCAGCCTGTCCACTATTTACTATTTAGTATTGGTGTGGTTAGAGGCAGTTAACCTAATGGAGTACCACGCTAATTGTCAGATTTAAATTTTTATTACAGTTTTTTAACCTGTTTTTTTTTTTGTGCTTTATTTTTATCTGACAAATAAAGATAGTATCTATTTATACAACACATTGGAGTACAATGTAATGTTTTGATATATGTATACATGGTGGAATAATTAAGTGAAATTAATTAACATATTAATCACTACCTTAATTCTTTTTGATCTGTAGATGTTGATTTGCTTCAACACTGATATTCCCCCCTTTTGTGCTCAGTTTACATCTTTATCTAAGATCCTAGCTTTAGAATTAAAATTGTAACTTAATTGGAAAAAATCTCATTCCATTTTTTTTAACTGAAATTTTTAATAATTGTAGATTCACATGTAGTTGTGAGAAATAGTAGAGATCCTGTATATACTTTACCTAGTTTATTCAGTTTTTGAATGTGTTAGAATACTAAAGTTTTTCCACTGACAAATTTTATTTTTGCATGTTTATATAGCACATTATTAGATCTGGTATAGTAATTTTATTCTACTTAAATAATGTAAAGATCAGATAATTGATGTTATCTTATTTTGTAGTGTCTTAAGGCAGGTTCCTTGAAAGATCCTCTGTTAGATGACCACGGAGATTTTATTAGAATGTGTACAGCCATGAAAAAAATTGGTTTGGATGATGAAGAAAAGCTTGATCTGTTCCGGGTAGTAGCTGGTGTCCTTCACCTTGGAAATATTGATTTCGAGGAAGCCGGCAGCACTTCAGGTTTTTTGTTTGTTTGTTTTTAAGAGGAGTAAAATTAGAATTTCTGTCATTTTTTGTCATATGAAAATTGAATTTGTTATGAGTAGGTTTGTTGAAATTTCTGGAATATACTGCGTTACCTTGTGAATCCCACAAATTAAGGGATGCTCTGTCATCAGTCATTGTGGGTTCTGTTTTGAACAAATCAGTGATGTTGATAAGGAGTAAACTTCTCATTTTTGAAAGATAAGTAACTCTGTATCAGGGCCATATTTAGTTAAATTTTCCGACTGATATTATACTTTCCTAGTAGGTGAATAGATTAATTCTCTGTCACCTATTAAGGTATTTTTGAAAATTTTCTGGTTCATTGATCTAAACTTGGATCAGGTCATTAGGGCAATTTAATACATAAAAGCCCATAAACTTCATTAATGAGAAATGAAAATAAATTAAAATTTTTATTTTTATGCAAATTGAAAGAGTATTTAAATGCCTGATGATAGCAACTTTCCAACTCTAGAGTCTCAGTCTCTACATGAACAGTTAGACTGCGTAATTCTAAATTTGATCTGTAAATACAGGGATTGGCAAACAATGAACCAAATCTGGCCCACTGCCTGTTTTTATAAATTGTTATTGGAACATAGCCACACCTATTCATTTATGTATTGTCTATGCCAGCTTTCATGTTACTGTGGCAGAGTTGAGTAGTTGTGACAGAGACTTTATATTCTGCAAAGACCAAAATATTTACTAGCTGGCCCTTTAGAAAAAAAGTTTGTCAATCCTTGCATTATTTTGCAGTCTTATACCAAGGAGAATTAAGAAAAACCTAAAGCACCATTAATAAAACAGTCAATAACATGGGCTTTTGTGTCAGATCCCAAATATTCTCTGAGCTTTGGTTTCTTCGTTGCAAAATGAAATAATCCATGAGAAATGCTTTTAAAGTATAGTACCTAGCAATAGTATGCATATAGGGTAGGGCCAAAAGAGGGAGGAAAAGAATATTTAGGGAAAAAATGTGTCTGCTATGTCCAAGACCCTTCATATTTTGTATCTTGTCATAAACATCGTAATCATAAACATCGTAAAAATAAGGAGGTAGAGAATATTACCTCCATTTTATAGACGTGGAACCTGTGCAAAAGTTAAGTAACCTATGTGGTCATTAATGAAGTTGTAGATGTGAGAACCAGGTTCTGCCCACATCTGGCTAAATTAGGAGCTTGTGATAATTGTCCATCATTGCCCCCAGTCTACTGAGCCTCATGATCTGTGAACAAGCAGACTAAAATAGACAGTTTTAATGACTTTCAGATTTAATGTCCTGTGATGCTATGAAATCAATAACATGAGATGCAGCATGCTCTTGAACCAGACTGCTTCCCCATATATTCTCTTCATGTGTGACCTGGGGCAAGGAACTTAACCTTTCCATGTCTCAGTTCCCTCACTGTAAACTGGGGAGAATAATAGTCCCTACCTCATGTTGTGAAGAGGAAGAAATGAATTAAATATTTGTAAAATAATTTGAATACTTGTATCTGGCACATAGTAATCACTGTAAATGCTTTAAATAAGTAAAATAAAAATACAGATTACTTCCAGTTTAAAATGAAAAGAAAAAATCAAGCAAAATTAGGTATGTTTTTAGTGTACATTAAAGTTTTTTAATTAGTTTTTTGTAAATTTATTTTGAAAACATAATGAGAATTAGCTTACATTCCATTTGCTTCTAGCATTGTTATACCAAGTGAATATGTAAGAGATTCTAAGTAACACACAGAAAAGATCTTAAGTCTACGATATTTAGTTCGCACTTTGGAATGTTGTTAGAAGCGATAGGAGCATTTTCACACCTCTTAGAATATGCAGATGTATACAGAGTGTCATAAATGTTGCGTGATCCAGTTAATTTAACAGTATGAAATGGTCAAAAGGTACTTAGCACATATTTGCATTGTCTCTTATTTTTCTTCTCAAACTTCCTTCTGTTGGGGCCGGCCCGGTGGCGCTCCCACCGAGGGTTCGGATCCCACATACAGACCGGTTCCCGCTCACTGGCTGAGCGAGGTGCGGGAGCAGCACCGAGGGTTGCGATCCATTGCCGGACATGGAAAAAGACAAAAAAAAAAAAAAAACTTCCTTCTGTTGAAAATGAGCAGAAAGCAGGAAAGATTGGAATGAGGCAGTAGATCAAGAGATTGAATAAGCCAGATTATTTTAATTTTAGTAGCTAAGATTTTATTATATTAATCTTCATCTTTCCTATGGTTCTTCCTGTAGATCCGAATAGTTTCTTTCTTTTTTTTTTTTTTTTGTGACTGGTAAGGGGATCACAACCCTTGGCTTGGTGTCGCCCACACTGCGCTCAGCCAGTGAGCGCACCGGCCATCCCTATATAGGATCTGAACCCGCGGCAGGAGTGCTGCTGCGCTTCCAAGCGCTGTACTCTCCCGAGTGTGCCACAGGGCTGGCCCAAATCCAAATAGTTTCTAATTAGAATTGATTTTTTTTCCAATTTTGGCATGTTCTAGTAATTTGAAAAAAATTCAGTATTTTTATAATTATTTTATTGGAATGTTATTCTCCAGTAAATGCTTATAAGATTCAACTGTCATAAAAACATTTTTAGCATGACGGAAATGCAGAAAATATTTGTTGGGATTTCCTATGTTTTTAAAATTTCACGTAACAAAAAACCACCAACAAAACATGTTATAACAAATTTTAAAAATGAAGTTTTTTTTGGAAAGGCAGTGACATGAAAATCTTACATTATTTATTTATTTTTTTTGTCTTTTTTCCGTGTCCGGCAACGGATCGCAACCCTCAGTGTTGCCCCCGTACCGGACCGGGGACCGGCAATGGGATTGCAAACCTCGGTGTTGCTCCTGCGCCTCGCTCAGCCAGTGAGCGGGAGCCGGTCTGTATGTGGGATCTGAACCCTCGGACGGGAGCGCCAGCCGCGCTTCCCAAGCGGCGCACTATCCAGTGCGCCACCGGGCCGGCCCAAAATCTTACATTATTTTATAGTTTTTTTTTTATGACTTTGGTTTTTGTGTTTTTTTAAGTAGCATTTCTAATCTTAGCCTTTCATATGTAAGTAACTTTGCAATATAGTAAAAAAAGAGAAATATTTAAATGAATTCATGAATTATTGATGATCAGTTTTTTGAGTTACATAGTTTTAGATTATGTGTATGTGTGTAGAGCCTAGACATGAGCAGTAAGCTCATATTCACAGAATTAAAAGTTAAATGTATTCTGAAAGTATTTCCTCTTTTCATTTTTTTGGTAACAGCTTTATTGAGATACAATTCACATACTGTACAATTCACCCATTTGAACTGTGCAGTTCACTGGTTTCCAGTATATTCAGAGTTGTGCAACCATCAACATAATTTTAGAACATTTTAACCACCCCACAGAGAAACCCCATTCCCTTTAGCAATTACTCCTCATTGCCCTTTTCTCTCAACCCTAGGCAGCCACTAATCTACTTTCTATTTTTATAAATTTGCTTATTCTGGGCATTTCATATAAATGGAGTCGTGTAATATGTGGTCTTTTGTGACTGGCTTTCATTTAACATGTTTTCAAGGTAAATCTATGTTGTAGCATGTAGCAGTACTTCATTGCTTTTTATTTCTGAATAATATCTCATTGTATGGACATACCACATTTTGTTCATTCATCAGTTGATATGTTGTTTGGGTAGTTTCTACTTTTTGGCTAATATGAATAATGCTGATAAGGACATTTGTAAACAAATTTTTGTTTGGTTGTTGGTTTTCATTCCCCTTGAGTATATGCTTAGGCGTGGAATTGCTGAGTTGTAACTCTGTTTAATCTTTTGAGGAACTGTCAAGACTGTTTCTCAAAGTAGGTGTACCATTTTGTATTCCCATTAACAGTGTATTACAGTTTCTCTTTATCCTCACCAATACTGTCTGTTTGTCTCATACTAGCAATCATAGTGGATGTGATTTCTCATTGTGGTATTTATTTGCATTTTCCTGGTGACTTATGATTGAGCATCTTTTCACATGCTTATTAGCCACTTGTATGTTTTTTTTTTGGAGAAATGTTTATTTAGATCCTTTGCCCATTTATTAACTGGGTTGTCTTTTTATTATTGAATTGTAATAACTTTTTTATATATCCTAGGTACAAATTCCTTATCAGATATGTAATTTGCAAATGTTTTCTTCCATTCTATGGGTTATCTTTTCACTTTTTTGATAATGTTTTTTGAAACACAAAAGTTTTTGATTTTGATAAAGTCAGATTTATCGATTCTTTTCTACTGTTGCTTATGCTTTTGGTACCGTATCTAAGAAATGAAGATTTACTTCAAGATCATGAGTATTTTCACCTTTGTTTTCCTGTAAGAATTTAATAGCTTTAACTCTTACATTTAGGTCTTTGGTTAATTTTGAGTTAATTTTTGTACATGGTGTGAGATAGGAGTCCATCTTCAGTCTTTTGCATGTGGATATCCAGTTGTTCCATTATTGTTAGTTGAAAAAACTATTCTTTCCTCAGTTAATTATCTTGACAGCCCCTTATTATTATAAGATCCAATTTTTTTATATTCTCATATTTCTTCTGAGACTAGTCTGTTAAATAGTTTATTAATTTGGCATAATAAAATTCTCATGATTTTTATGCATTCTTTATAGCTTTGACATTAGATGGTCTTGGAATAAATAATTTATAAACACTAATTTTTGAAAATATTTATAAAATGTTGATTATTTTAATAGTAGTAATAATAAATATAACTATATATTATTTATATACATATAAATAGCTAACCTTTATATAGTGTTTGCTCTGTACCAGGTACATTCCAAGCACTTCACGTGTGTAACTGTATTAGTTGTCATAACAACCATGTTAGGTAGGTACAATTATTATTCCCATTTCATGGATGAAAAAACTGAGCACAGAGAGAATAAGCAGTTTATTTGAGATCACATAGCTAGTAAGTTATAGAGCCAGATCAGCCTAGAGACTAAATGCTTTCTATATAATACTTTTAAAAATAGCCTCCAGAAGTAGAAATCTGTAGATTGGATGTACAGGTGAGAGCAACTGCCTCTTCACCCTTTCCCTTCATCCCCAAGCAACATGAGCACACATATGCAGTGTACACACATACACGTATACAGACATCCACATCCAAATTAACCCACTAAAGTGCCTTACAACATCTGCACTAAAATTACTCCCTGAAGTTTCTAGGAAACATACGAATTTCAATGATAAGACACTATATTTCTCTAGAGATTCAATGTATTACAAAAGGATTATAAACTGCCATTAACCTATTTCACTTAAGATAAAAGGGATATAAAAAATGAAGCAGTGGCAGTTTAATATTAACAGGCTGAAAGGATTATACCATGGACTGCCGCATGTGGTGGTCTCCCGTTGACGGGGATGGCGAAAAAGTGAGGTGGATTTCAGAGTTACAAATAAAACTTGTTTATTACTAGTTTTATGTAAGTGAAGTATAATTCTAAAAACTGGGTCATGAAAATCTGGTTTATATAACATTCATCAAATTAAAATATATTTTCATTAGGTGGTTGTAATCTAAAGAATAAATCTACACAATCATTGGAATATTGTGCTGAATTACTGGGTTTGGACCAAGATGATCTTCGTGTAAGTTTAACCACAAGAGTGATGCTGACAACAGCAGGGGGCACCAAAGGAACAGTTATAAAGTAAGTTTCTTAACTCATTGATCTGCAAAAATCCTGCCTTGCAGTTTGTCAGGGAAAAATCTTTTTTTGAGAACCTGAGATTTAAAGTTGATCTTTGTGCATCATTCATTCATTTTATTATAGTCTTCTAAAACCTGTGCTTGATAGATCAAAATGCTGTGCATCTGACTGCAGCAATACATCATATAAATAAATGGGGATTTGCAAAGCTCTTAAAGTTGTTCCTTGCAGATAGATATTCTGCATGGCACAGGTTTGAAATTAAAAAGGTAAGAGAGAGGTTTACTTTTGTACAAGTATGAAAATAGGAGTTGATTATGTTAGTCAATATCTGACTGTTTTAGGGAACAGACTATTTTACTTTATAATAGTCATTTTTTAATGCAAATGGTGTGTACTGAAACTTCTAAGTAGAACTCACTTTAGCAAAATACTCAGCAAATGGACCTTTCCCTTACCTTTAGGATTTGTCATTTAGAGGAAATTGCAAATGACCAAATAAGGGCCTAGCCAAGATTTTAAAAATCATTAACCAAGAATTTCTAGATTGTGTCTGGGTGTATTTATACCTTTGGCTGGATGTCCTATATTTTATGCATTTTTGTTTTTGGTACTGTAGGATAAAATTGATATTCAAGCTTATCATTCTGAGGCACTGCAAGATCATCAGTTGTGGGGGGAAAAAGTCAGGTCCTCTATCCCTTGCTAAAAAAGGCAGGCAGAATGAGCTCTTGTGGGCCGGCCCGGTGGCGCACTGGATAGTGCGCCGCTTGGGAAGCGTGGCGGCGCTCCTGCCTGAGGGTTCGGATCCCACATACAGACCGGTTCCCGCTCACTGGCTGAGTGAGGCGCGGGAGCAACACCGAGGTTTGCAATCCCGTTGCCGGTCCCCGGTCCGGTATGGGGGCAACACTGAGGGTTGTGATCCGTTGCCGGACACGGAAAAAAGACAAAAAAAAAAAAAAAAAAGAATGAGCTCTTGTGCCATATTTCAGAAAAATTTTCAACAAATTAAAACACGAAACATTTTTTTTAAAGCCACTCAGAAAATTTGCTACCTCTTACACTTTTGGAAATATTGGCAAGGCATGCTTAGCCTGATACTTTG